CAGTTAAAGTCAGTTTCTTACTTATGAACCATGGATCTCTCCCAGGATTTGTCGATGTGGGATTCGCCTAAGGTGTTACAGGAGTTCCCGGCGGCTCGGGAAGCAGAGGAGAGGACTTATCGTAGAGGAGGAGGATTTTGGTGGTGGCGGGGCAGGAGGCTTTCAATTTCCCAATTATGTTCCTTTTAATTATTTTTTTAAGCAATAGGAAAAAAATAAAGGTCCACGTCAGATGCCACATAAGCGCTGACTAGACTTTCTGTTAAAAACTAACGGTCAACGCTAGTCAACTCTAACGGAAAAATAGTTTAGACACAATTGTCATATCGAATACTTTAGGATGCAAATGACATAAAGTTAATAGTTCGGGTTTCCCAGTGGTATTAGCCCTATATTAATTCCAAGAACGAGACATTTTCTAGTTCTCTTTTGAGTTTGAAAATCTTTTTGTTACGTACATGTGATGTGGGTTATGCATATAGATCTTTAAGTTTGTATGCAGCCTTATCTGGTTGTGGACATTTTTTCTTATTTTTCAGGTAAACTTAGGTAGCTACATTTCGTGGAACTGGTGTGGATTTAGAGAACAATGGATGTAATTTATGTTGTTATGAATATATCCTCTATGTAGTACTTATATAGTTCCATTAATAAATCATTAGACTAGAGAATAGACTATTGAAATATTGAGGCAGTTGATGAAATTCTTTATTTGGATGTTGTAATGATTAGCGTCCATCCTCTTTTTTTGACATTGCAATTCTTTATTAGTTATGACAAGATTTATTTGAATGAAGACAAAGTCATGTATACTTTCTTTACCATTCTCACCACTTTATTTTTTACCACAGGCTGCTATCGAGAGTGTGCATTGCTCTTTCCAATCTATGACCACTCTTGGATTCTCACCTAGGCCATCACTACATGGAAGTACTTACAACATTGATGTTGATGTTGTTATTGTCGGAGACTGTATGTGTTTGTCACATCTTCCAATCACTGCAAGAGAAAACATGATGCCATAGCACCATCGCTCCAGAAGGCTCCTAGTTTTATTGTCATTCCCCTTTTTCTTGCGAATGCTCACTATGGTGGTAAGATAAAACAAACCAGAAGGACATAGATAATATGTTTTCTTCTTTTTAAGTGTGTTTCATGCCTGTATAGTTTGCAAACAGGCTACATTTGGATTCTCACCAACATTTTAGTCTTCTTCTCAATTTGAATAATTAAATTTTTATTTCTTTTGACTTCCAAAATTTAATTTTTCATCTACTTACTTTTGCGACTATAAGGTACTTGCATACTCCTGGAAATATCTTATCAAATTTGAATTGAAGTGTTGTCCTCACTTGTCTGGTAGATACAATGAATTCTTGCTAGATGTTTAGTTTAATTCGCTCAAAGTAAGTCTCATTTCTGCAGTCTTCTTTGTTATCCTAAACACTTAAACAAATTCACATCACTTATTTCCTATTTCATTACCAACTATGACAAGTGACTAATGAGATGTTGCCCTCGACATGACAACTATGCTCACTGTCGAGCTCCTAAATGAAGCTTTTTGACGTTAGCGCGCCTTTTTCAAGTCTTTGATAAGCGTATGATGGCTGGCTGTGGAACATAATAATTGAACAATTCCGATTTCAGTAACAACCAAAATAAAATGTACGTGTGATCCTCAGACTAGTTTCACATTTATTCTTAACTGAGTAATTCCAATATTTACAGACTGTTTGGTACCAAATGAATCAAGGATTCATTTCATTGTAAAATGAATTATCATGTAGAATTCATTGTCAAATGAAATCTTGTGTTTGGTATGTTATATTCAAATCTTTGGAAATAGAATGAATTGTCGTGTAGAATTCATTGTCAAATGAATTCCTATGTTTGGTATGTCATATGTATAAGTAATTTAGTTAATAAAAGAGGATAATTATGTCATTCTATTATAATTAGTAAATAATTGTGGAATTCATTTGAAAATTCCATCTCAATTCCTCGGTATTGCTATAACTAGTTCCAATTCCATAGAATTCAAAATTTAGAATTTAAAATGAATTCTTTTAAATACCAAACACAAAAATGATTCATTTCAAAATGAATTCCTCAAAATTTGTGGAATTCATTTATACCAAACGGTATGTTATAAACTCTTCCGTAATGTTTGCTCACACTGCAAATATATGATACTGGATCTAAATTGGTAAATAATTTCAATAGAAAAAACAGTTGAGTCACAATTAAACCACGAAATTAATATAAAATATCACAAAATTTTCCAATATAACATTGGATACGATTTCACAATAATTCATTACTAAAAATTACCCACTACAATTTTCTTCTTCAACAATTCCGATTGGGCTTAATTGCAAGTTTGGTCACTTGAATTGCTAAAAAATTTCACGTTTGCCACTCAAATTGATTTATTCCATTTGTAGTCACTCGAATTAGTTGAACAGTCCAAGTTCGGTAACTCTCCGTTAACCTCCGTTAGACTCCGTTAATGACGACCGTTAAGTGATGACGTGGCTAACAGAAAGACACAGTCAACATATTTTAACATTAAAAAACGGCGACCCGACTCGCCACGTCATATTTACCCGTCCTGTCAGCCATTCTTGCCCAACCCGCGAACCAACCCAATTAATTGACCCTAAACCCAAACCCGATTAACTGGTTTTTTTGTTTTTGGTATTCGATGATGTATTATCTTCATAATTAACTAGCTTTATACCAGGCCGGTTGGCCGGAATCCTAAAAATCAAGGGATGATAATCAAACCATGACTGCGGGTATTCGATCGCTCCCGATCCAGTCAACGCGGGGAATCCCTGGTTTGACTGGATTTGGGCAAAACCCTCATAAAGTTTGATGAGTACGGTCCTATGGGGCGGGTATGGTTTAGCCTCCTCCGCCCCATACCTCATACCAATACCCGCTCCACCAAGACAACTTATTCACATATAAAATAATATGTGGAATAAAATTGTATCAATAATAATACAAGTGAGTGACCATCCTAATCAAAATCTAATTCATTTCTCTCAATTCTTCCTTCACTCTTACACTTTCCCCCTCATCAATAAGATTATATTAATTATTTATCACTTAGTAGATGTATCAAGAGTTGGAGCATAATAATTTGGAAAATATTGTATATATTATGTATTAATGAACGTTTTTTTTCTTCATATTCTTGAACGGTATTAAGATTCTTATTATCAATTTTACGTACTGGAAAAAATGAGAGCTTTGAAATGGGATAGAGTACTGTATAAGCATAAAGGATAGAGTTGATTTCATTTGTCTTGAGAAGCAATTTCAGAGCCCCACATGATAGAGGGCATACTTAAATAGGAAATACTTAGGTACCTTTTTGTTTCTCATTATGTAGTTAGTTCTTGGTGTTTGAAGTTTTCTTAGAAAAGAAATTGTGGAATATCATTTGGAGTGATCGAAGAGGTTGAGAAAGATCAGAAAAATCGAAATGGTAAGCTGTTAATTTGATTTTGTTTGTTCGTTGAAAATGATTGTTATAATCCAAATCAGTTAATTGTGTTATGTTGTTAACCAATATATTGTCCATGGGTTTTTGTTTCTCTACTGCTCTTTGTTTTTATTCTTAACCTTTTTTATTGTAGCAATCTCATGTTGTGGTTATAAAAAACCAAATAAATGAATCCCATCAAAATGCTACCAAGTTAGTGATACATTACCTGTTAGTGTTAATGAATGTAGTTCCCATTCTTCATATATGGAGTGCTGAAAACGTGCGCATAGTTATTTTTATTTATCGAAGTTTAATTATGGCCAAGTGTTGACTTTGTTATGGCTAAATTGATGAAACGAACAATCCGTTGATCTTGGAGGAATTTGGTATACTTCATTGATTCATGGAGGACTCCTGTCATATTAGTATGAATTTGGTTTACTTGATTTTTTCACGGAGGTCTCCTCTCATATTCGTATAGATTAATAGTAAACAAATAAAAATAAAACAATGTGTGACTCAATGCAAAAATATAAACAAATTCATAAAAATCTCCCGACCAACAAGCCGGGTCCTGTGCTAATTTCATTGATGTATATAACAGTTGCATCTTTGGAAGTTTTTAATAAATGCAATTATAGATTACAACCATCTTCTTTTCATATAATATTATTTTAATTACTTCAAAGTTTATGCTTTTATATTTTTTACTTATTTCATAATAAGTACATTGATAGGATATTAGTGACACACTTTTCATATTAAGTAATCTTAATATTTCATTCCATTCAAATTAATCAATAAATATATTTTCGTTTGAAATAACATAAGCGTTGTTGATTTATGAAATTGTTTAGGATAATGTTAAAAAAAACTTCATTTACCATCCCAGTTCCATATCCTAAATATATGAAAATGATAAAATTATATTTGAAAAACTGAAAGAAAATAACAACGTGGTTACTAAATAAGCAAAACAACTATTCATAAAAATAAATTAAAATAAAGAAGGTGGTTGTGTGCAAGAAAGTGGCGGGGTGTGTGTGGACATGTGGGGTGTGATAATTATTAAGAAATTTTTTTAAAAGAAGTTAAAATGATTCTGAGTTAAATTATAATTAAGGGTCTCCTAAATTTATTCTCTGATCAAGAAATTCAAAATGCTGAAAAACTGCTTATAACTCCACTATAATAATATATTTGTAGATGGTTGTAGCTAGTTAATGGACTTGAGCCAACTCTGAGTACCCAACAATAAAGCCCATGAGCCCAAATAGCTAGTTTCATTTGGGCCCAATGTTTTAACGATTACGGAAAGGAAAAGGATGGCCTCCCGTCCGTTATCGTGTCAGGAAAGGAAAAGGGGGGAGAAGGAGAGCTGTTTTCGCTATATATAATGAAGAAATCGGGTGTCGTCTTTTCCATTCAGATTTCACGCTCGAAAAATCAAAATTATCTCCTCCTGCCTGTCGAATTAGGGTTTTCTTTTTCTCTGCCGCCAATGTCGCCGCCGACCAAGAGGAAGGTGGAGTTGATCATGGATGATGGCCAAGATTATGATGAAGCGTACGAGTCTTGGAGATTGTCGGAAATTAGGAGGGAGAAGCGGATGCGGGAGGAGCGCGCCGAGGGGGCCAAGACGATGTTCGAGTTTTTTAGTTGTTTTCATGTTATGCTGTACTACCTTCACCTTGCACAGCAGTGTGAAAGTGTCGATCGTGTATAATTGGAGATATCTGGCATTTGCCCTCCAATCTTTTGGTTATAGCAAGAACAGTAAACACAACAAATAATAACAAAAGGAGTGTTTTGGTCAGGCTAGTTCAAGCAGCTCGTACATTCTGATATGAAACTGTTAGATATATGGATCATCATGTATACTACACAGTAACTATTGACGATTATATTCCACGAGGAACACCTCCCGTGCGAAGTCGAAACTGGAAAAAGAAAGAATGAACAAGCAAATCTCGCAAGGGAAATTTGCTTTCTAGCTAATAGTTTTTTTTGTGTTCTTTCATCTCTGTTAACAACCTTCAGCAAACCCAGAAACCGACCATCAATGAACTCAGATACTCGCCTTCATCACTCGAAATCGACAACTCCCACTCTTTCTCTGATCCAAATCATTTGCTTATGTTCGCTCGATATCCTTTTTCTATATTCTTTGTTTCTTCTCTTCGAATCTTCCCCAATTCTTCTTTTTGATTCAATTGAGTTCCCTAATATATTCAGGTGGTTCCAATTAAATGACAAATCTTCAATTGAGTTACTATTTGGATTTTTGTTTTAAGTTTGTTTTTATTTATTTATTGTTAGAATTTGTATTTCTTAATAAATACAATTATTTTTTTGTATGAAATAATTTTTTTTGGGCACATCTTATTTTGAGAACAAGACCTCTAGAATTCATTAGTTGGCCCTGAGGTTAGCGGCGAGAGGAGTATGAATGTATATGAATCCATCGTCTTTCTGTCCTTCTGCGACAGATCTGTATGGCAACGGTTAGAGCGAGCTTATTGTCTAGGTTGAAATAAAGGCTGAACGGGCAGACAAGAGGAGTTCTAGGTTTCTTCTTCATGTTTTGGGACGCGAAGAGTCATATTCTGCAATTGGGGGTTTGCTATTGGTATTCATTGTATGGATTCTGGTGATTAGATTCACGATTAAAGGGATGCATTCTTGTAATAGCAGCCCTTGACCTCTGTCCACCATAGTCGCCATCGTTATGAAGGCAAAAACAGAGCATCGCTGTTGGATTAGCTTACTCACGATGAAGATAGTGCCCTCTTAGATACTTGACCATTTGCGTTTAAAAATCTAGTACCATAAGGATAAAGACCTTGATATGACCTTATATAAAGACCATTTGCGTTTAAATAATATATAATAAGTACATTATATAAATTTATTGATTTTATATAGCAAAAAGCGACAGATTGGTCTCCATATCCTTTGGTAACAATCAATGCATCAAAAGTGTACACCCATATTACCAAGTCCATGGGTCAAGGCAGGCAAGCCATCCATATTGACCTCATGACTCTTTTCCTCCATGAGAGATAACTCTCCATACATTAACTTTGAATTTTTCTAGCTAACTAATGGGTGGTACAAGGTCAACATGTCTTGTCTTGGTGGCCTTACATGGTGTACCATGTTCCTCTGCCTTCACCACCTTACTTGTCACGTCAAGACGACCATGATTTTTCCTCCATCTTGGTTGTCTCCTACTGAAATTGGAGTAGGGAAGATCATCTTCAAGCATATAATCATCGACATGGTCATCTAAACCACCCTTATAATCATCTTCTTCTTATTGGAAATTGTCTTCAACCCCCTCTTGGCCTTTGAAGTCACTCTGAACTTGGATTTGCTTGCTCTTGTCTTCCACTGTCACTTTGAGTTTGGTAGCCATGGATTTGTACACCTGAATATTTGATTAAAGACTATCTCCTCTCTTCCATAGTGATGCACTTGTTGTCTTGCCACGAGCCATTGGGAATTAGCCTTCACGTGCTTGGGCATTCTTACCAAGGATCCTCCTTATCTGGGTCCTTGTCATCTTAACCACGACTACTGGTTTATGTTAGCGAGCATTGTATTTATGCCATCCATTAGCACATAAGAAATTTTGAATGTCTTCTTTGTTGAAAGAGGGCCATGAGCTACCCATTTCCTTGGTTGCCCCCAAACTGGCTACATCACTCCCTCCACTTGTATATGATATGACAGAACCTTAGCCTTATGGGAAGACCAATTCTTTGGTGAAATGATGGAGTTGGCTTCTCCTCATCGAGTCTAAGACTCCTCTTGCATTAAGCACATAGCTTATCAACCTCATTTGTCACCATTGCGGTCGTGTTGGTATGCCTAATAGTTGGAAAACTCCCTTGCTCAAAAACCACATTATGGCTCCTTTGAGGAGGCGTTGTATCTAACACCAGCTTGAAACATGGAAATAATACTTTGGAGAAGTCTGGGTTGACCATGTTGACGTCAAGCACCTTGCGAAACGAATCAGCGGTTAATGGCATTCTTGAATTTAGTCATGAAATGCTCAACCGATTCCACTGGCTGTTGGCTCATACGTGGCAAGTATTCCATGGACGCCTTGGGAGTAGATCTATAAAATTGAGCGTGGAAGACTTTCTCCATCTATTGCCAAGTCTGAATGGAGTTAGATGACAAGTTGACGTACCAAACAAAGGCTGGCCCTGTCAATGATTAGTCGAACAATATTATATTAATAAAATCTCCTACATCGCCACTTTGGATAGTGAAGAGTCCAACGTTCTCAACAATGGACTGGTCTCCCGTCCCTGTGAATGTGGCAAAATCGGGCACCCTCAATCCCCTTGGAAACTGGTGAAGCCTATCTACCCATTTAGGATATGGATTCCATTATACAACTGGCATGGTGGGTCTCACTTGCATGCCAAACTATTCCGTGAGGAGTTGAGCCACTTGGTCCCTAAGGGTGTTGGCATTATGCCCCCTTGTTGCTCCCCATAAGGTACAAACCCAGTGGGAACCACGCCATCCCCATTGAAATGGGGTAGCGTTGGAATTGGGTAGCCTCGTGGTGCGACTTGATCCATGCTAACACCTAGCCCTCCTGCCCTTCCTAAATTCATGGGAGCCACATAGGGTCTTGTCTCCGGGATAGAGAATTGAGCACCAGATGCCCCAATAGTTTCTCAACTTGAGTGTTGAACATGGTGGCGAGGTTCTCACCACACAGGGTTACCACTTCAACTCCCATACGTACGTGTGAGGACTCCCCCACTTGAGAAGTAGCATAAATCTCGCCATGGTTTAATGGTTGTGGCATTAGTTGGCTTGCCGTTTGAAATTAAAAATTATCTTCTCTCGGTTGTCCATTTCGAACACCGGTGGGAGACATAACCATATTAGAAGGAGTTATACTTGTGCCATCTATTGGCAAAGCTTTTGACTGCACTACTGGTCTATTTAGAGGCTATCAGAATTGATCCTTTGTATTTTTGTTAACTAGCTCAAGTAATTGACTCAAATGTCTATCCATGCTAGAACTGAGACAATCCATTTGAGAGTTTACCTGATGAGTATCATCCCTAGACTCCTCCATCATGCGACATTTCTCTTCTATGGCTTAATAGTTCTCTACCACAATCTTGTGGTTCCCCTCCATCACATGAAAAGGATCCCCACTGCTTCACCAAGATCTCCACTAAGCATGGTCGCTGAAAAGATCTCCTACCCACCATTTCCGCTGGCCATCGCCTCTGATGCTTGGCCATGCTCAATGTTGGCCACCTACTCCTACACAAAACCCCCCTCCGAGTCATCAAATCAAACACAAGCGTCCCAACAGGTGTGGCAAATTGTTTTCCGACGAGAAAAATTGCGTTGAAATCGAATTGATTGCACCTTGACCTCTTTGGACAACTATTAACTTGACACAGTTCACACTTCTTCAAACAAAGTTCGAACGAGGGTGTTCAATGTTTACATGACTCACGAGACATTGGGTTTGGTGTGAAGGTTTAAATTATCCCTTCTCCTGTGGAGGTTTAGTGAGAGCTCCAGATCTACGACTATGACTAAAATTTGCAGAGGAAAGATAAAAAAGATAAAAGTTGACATTGGGTTTGGTGTGAATTTGGAGAACCCTTTCTTTCTAACCTCCTTCTCCTAGTTATAGCAATGAGGTAGTAACCATCGTAGAGAACCATCTGACGAGTAACTTCCAAAAAGAACTGCTTTGTTTCTTCCTTGGACGTGGATGACGTGTGCTTAAACGTGGAAAATTGGCAGTTGCTCGTTAACCTCCCAAGTCCCTCTTACTTATGGAACTGAAGTCTTGGTGCTTGCCTCCTCTCCACCATGACCAAGAATCTTATATATCATGACTGAGGATATGTAACACTCCGACCTTTGGGTTTAGATCCGACCTTAATACGTGAACGTTTGAATTGATGGTTACGTACGAAGGGTTACAACCGCGAATTAGTAGTGATAATAATAATATAATAATAATAATAATATTAATTTGCAAGAGAAAAAAATAGTTACATGTATATATCAAAAGGGAGGAGGCGCTTCCCCAGCAGCAAAGCCCTCCCAAATTATTGTTTCCCCAGCCGAGAGACTCCCCGCTGCCCAAATTGTTTGTTTCGCCAGCCGAGCGAGAGGAAGAAAGAAAGAGGGAGCGCGACCCTGTTCCCGACCCCGATTTCCCGACCCCCATCCCATGCCTTCGTGTTACTAGGTAAGGATCACGAACCCATTCGTGATTTCTAAATTCGATTCATCGATAGTCTAATACGAAGCTCGTATTTTATTACCGGTGACGTTTGAGGGTTCGATCAACGAGGAGATCAATGTCCCGGGCCATACAATCTAGTACTAGGCACGTTCTAGAGGTAAGGGAACTCGATCCCTTTGAGTTAGGTCGATTAATTTGGGGATTTTTCGTGAGGGTGCGATTCTGGTTTTTTAGCAACAAACTTTACAGGATTTTAGTGACAGATTTTGGGTGTCACTAAAGTTGCTGGGAATTTCCAGAAACGTATTTTTGGATGTTTTAATTGGTTTGAGCATCTGTGGGTGTTGATTTATAGATTGAACAATTTTATAAATTGATCGGGGTCTAGGAGATGAATGTGATTAAAGTTGAGGATATTTGAAGATGTATTACTATTTTTAGAAATTGGTTGAGTGTTCATTTTAATTAAATAAAAA